GTAAATCTATTTTTATTTAATAAACTAGAAATAAAAGTCATTAAAACGGTTTTTAATATTCAATTAAGTATTTATTCTCGGTATTTTATTTTTATTTAATCATGTTTAGATATTTATTTAATATACATGTGTTACAACTACATTTATACTTTCGCCAAGTAGTTACGGATGTAGTAGTTGATGATTACATAGCTGGCGTAAAATGTTTGTGTTTATAATTGTTTATGTTTATAGTTGGTCATAATATGAACTATATCATTATTATTTACCAACCCAGTCTAGTTTACAGCCCTGCTTGATATTGTATGATTAAATATTTCAATAGTCCACAGCCACATCACGACAGCAATATAATTTCTGAGGACAACACTTAGCACTACAGTAACGCGTTCGTGTAACATGAAATTCACCTATCTATTTAGTATTTATGTGTAATATCACTATAAAGTATAAAATAACATACGGTCGGGTAGAATAATATTATTGTCATCCAAGGCGGGGTCGATATCATAGGATTTTCGTTCTTTCTGCGGACGGACTCACGAATTGCGATTAAGCGAGGTCGTAGAGAAAATGACAAACCGCACGAGTCACGCGGGAAACAAAAGGATTGGATTTTCGGCGATCGAAACTAAATATATATATATATTATACTTTCGGACACGAGCGGTTCGTATTAGAAACTTCAACGCGGAGGAGAGGGAAGTACTCTTATAATCCGAAAACGGGTCCTTTGCGAGATAACGCACGCGGCCGGCCGCGATACGACACGATCGGGATGAGAGCCGCTCAGCACTCGACGCAATGGTCCCGCCGCCGCCGCCACACTTGCTTATACACGCGCCCGCCGACTTGATAAAACTTATAATTGGCACCCCATTGATTTCGGTGGAGGGCATTTTTTTTTTCTTACGGTCGTCGTTTTAATCTGCAGCAGCACATAATATAATAATAATATATATGTATGGAGGTACCTTCGGAGAGAGACCCTCGAACGCACTGCGCGCGCTGCCGGTGGTGGTGGTGCTTCATAGTATTTTTATTATTGTTGTTATTATCGCGGTGTTCCGGCTTTCTTCCGGTTTCAATTTAATTTTTCATATTTGTCTCCTCCTGCCGAGACAATGCCCGGAGCAGCTCGAGATTTATACATTATTATTATTATTATTATTATCATCATCGTTATATCGTTGTATATATGCATTTTTTTTGCATTTACCGAGGGTGATAAATCAACCGAAACGAGCATGTGTAAGTGCTGTGACATTAAAAATGACAACGGTAAAAGGCTACTACTATAACTCTTCACGCGCACTGCAAAAATAATATGTTTGTTTATACGCCATATCGCAGGCACACTCACACATTCACACACGTCGTGGGTTTGAAAAATACGTGTACCGTTTTTTTTCGTAGTCTTTCGCGTTTTATTTTTTATTATTATTACGTATTTTTTTTTTTGAAGTGGTTAGCAAAAAAAAAAAGCAAAAACGATGAACACGACTGTCAGCTATAAATTCTCCACGTACATACGGAAAAAAAAAATAAAAACGTGACGCATGTGAATAAGACCGGAAAATGCGAGCAGCAACAGGTTACATGCATCAGGCGTGTATAGCTGTCGAGCAAAGGTTTTTTTTTCAAATTAACAGCGGCACATAATATAACATACGCACAAGAACACACATACACACCCTTAGCTGTCGTCGTGTGGGGAAAAAAATAATCGCAGAGATTAGCTGTCGCTAATAGTTTGTCGGAGGGGATTCCGCGTGTAATACTATACATATGTGTGTGTGTGTGTAAACGATATTCCTCGTGGTATGTGCCTTAGTTTGCCAAACCGTTTTTGGCTCGCATGATGTGAAGTCTCGAAGACATATTTGCGGTGTGTTCATCAGCGCGTCCTCGCCTCCCACGTCCTGCAGACCTACGGTATAGATATTTGTCAGTCCGGGTCAAAGGATAGCCCCTTTCTTCCGATGTTATGAAACGCATTTGTACCCCCGCACGCAAAGTGTTGGGATTCCGGAAATTCACTAGGAATACTCACATTTGTATACATATCGCGTGTCCGTGGAATCGGTGTATGTATATAATATATATAGATTATTTTAATGCAACGCTATTTAATACTCGACACACGATCTGATGTGGAAAATCTGACGCACGCTATTGCGCTCAGTTATTATAGTAACGGCGACTTCAATATAATATTGAGCTCCCATATGTATTTCGTAGAGTTCGTGTGAGGACCAAAACCAAGTGAAAAGAATTCTTGTGAACACATTTTATTGTATATTTAAAAATGTTGTCCTCCTCGCCGTCGCGATCGTTTGATTCATTTACCACAATCCCAAATTGAATATACAATTTTTTAAATATTTTATCATTGTCTTTTTTTGTAATTTTTAATAATTAAATAAAAATAAATACATTACAGCGTGCAGCGGGACGATACAATTGGTATACTCCGTAAAGGATTGATACAACAGACAAGTACAAAAAATTAACTATATAATATAATATAAGCCGTCAGCTGTCCTTGTATTTTCTTCCTCGTCGACGGATGCGCGTTTTTCGACTTACGCCCAGTCGTCCCCCTCTCAATAGACTCCTGAAAACTTCGGATATATATACGCGTTTACGAATATCAGCGCCGAATACATACATGTGTGTGTGTATTATATATACATAATAATATACGCACTCGTTTGATGCATGCAAAATTATTCGCCAAACTGCAAACACTGGGCAAAAGCCGAAGGCACACTGCACACACGCTCACAGGCGCTTTCGTTAAGGGATTTCGGACTGCTGGCAGTGTGCGAGTATGTGTATGTGTGTATGTGTGTGTGTGTGTGTGGAAATGTTTTCGAATATACATACATTAAAATTCTCGTCGAAAGGGTGGCAGCGTGCACGGTGTGATATGCAGTGCGACTGTACAAGGGTGTGGAGTGGTGGGTGAGGGGTTGCGGGTCGGAGGTAAAGATTTTAAATGCGTATTTTAAGATGTCAACTCTGTCGCGCATGGGTTTGCGGGGGGGGGGCGGATAGAGTGCGGCGCGTATGTGTGTGCACGGGAATTAGCATTATATGCGTCCCGAACATATATATACATAATGTCGTATATATGCGCTGGGTGATCCGTCGTCGAGTCGAGCACATGAATGTTTTAGTACGCATACAGATTAGTGTGTGTGAGCGAGTGTACGCGCGTCAAACCCCTTTTTTTTAACCTCGAGGATGACGTATATATTTTTTCGGTTTGTTTTAATCGGATCCCGCATGCAAATATCCATGCAAGTGGGACAGTATAGCAAGAGCGGATACGAAATATACACAAAAAAAAACAACAGAAAATATCGCAAATTCACATCGACTATATACCAGCTACGCCAAAGTTCCTGCATTTATATATTTATGGCTTACTAGTTAACGATATATATATATATATATATATGCGCGAAAGTACCATCGCAATTTTGCATCCACTATACACTGTACAACGTGTCACCGCAACGATTTTCGGGGCTCAGTTCGCTCGTAAATATTATAATCTAATATATATATATATAAGTTTTATATTATTATTATTATTATTATTATTATTATTATTAGTATTACGCGGGAAGAGGAAAAAAACTACCGACCGCTGTGGTAGTAAGTATATAATAGTAATTTTTTTTTAATAATTTTTTTTCTTTCCCTTCTCCTTTTTAAGCGTCGCACACGGCAGTAAAATATTCATAAGATCCGCTGCGGAATTAATCACCCTCTCCGGTTTTCGCGTTAGCATATCTCCCGGGACGTCGGTCGTTCCTCTTGTGACACCATCCCGCACACGGGAGAGTACAACGAAAATCCCCAATGTAATTTCTGATTAACTAAAAAAAAAACGACCACTTCCTTGAATGTTTTATTTTCTAAATTTTTTAAATTGGACTTATTTAGGCATAGTGGCCTCGACGATAAAACGTAACCAAAGCAATCTGTTATTCCGACAAAACGACTTTTACGACACCGAAACTTTTGTTTCGTTATCAATTTTATACATAATTGAATAATATTATGTATATATTTTTTAAATTTCGTGGTGATTGATTGGTGTACAAATAATTCGACAGAACGTATCCGTGTAAATTGTTGTTAAAAATATAATATTCTTTATTAAGAAATATAGCGCTAAGTGCATGACACTGATCGCGATTACGTTTTGAAAAACAAAAACATCTTACGCATATTTTTCGACTTTCGAATGAAGTGTAAAACAGTTTCTTCAGTCTGTATATAAGATGTAATAACCAAAAAAAAGTGCTGATTATGAGATTAAAATGTTATCCTATTTAAGTACACCTAAGTTTTGCTCGTTATGTTTTTATGCATGGCCGATTTGTTTGTGCAATTTACGCTTTTATTTACAATTAAAATGTTTTAAAAAATGAATATTCAGATTTTGAAAATGTATAAGCTCTTATTTCAAGACGATATAAGAAGTTTTGGGATTGCTGGGTTAAAAATATTTTTTTTTGTTTCTTAGTCAATGTAATTGTTGTTATTGTTTAAAAACCAAATAAAATAATAATAAAAAGGAAAAAAAAGGGGGGAAATGAATAATAATAATTGCTTTTATAAAACGTTAAAAAAATAGATGGTAAAAATAACGAGGGAATAAATTCGAAATTGCTTGTTAGAGACCGCCTGGTGTTGCTTGGAAAGTTCGTGCTTTTTCACCTGATGTTTGAAATTATATATATATAATATTTTTCTTCAGTTGGTAATAATAATAATGACGGGCCGAGGTGCCGTTATTAAAAAGTTGTGCCGGGGAAGTTCACGGGGGTAGGGAAAGCATACTCAAATTCATTCAACCGTTTTTCGAATCGTAATGAGATTACGCGTCTCCATACGGCGAGAAGCATGGAGATTACTTAGAAAATAAACGCTCAATTCTACGCTGAAATAATAACAGTACTAATAGTAATATAGTTACTCACCTTCTGGACCAGCAGTGTCAGTGGCGAGTTTGTGTTGAAACGCCTTGAATGGAAAATTGGTCTGTAACCAAGGTGAAGGTTCTAGGTATTTCTGCAAAAAAAATTAAAATAAAAAATAAGAATTCGACCAAAAAATAGTATACTTCCACTATGCCTATTAATCATAGTTTTTTAGAAATATAATAATAATATGTACGTAGTCATTTTAATAATATTTTTTAACAGTATTATACTACGATATATTATAATAATGTGCACTATAGTGACGTCTTATGAGGACGGTTTGTGTTATCCGCTTGCGAATAATAATATATTCCAGTCGTGTACACCCTTTTATCGTATGTTTTGTCAGGCAGATGTCTTTGGTGTACGTGAAATGGTTTTTTTTTTATTTCGTTATTCCCTGCCCGCACCGACGTAAGACGTTAAGGGTGAAAGTCATATATTCCTAACCCGACCAATTGAATAAAATAGCCGGACTTTGGAGAACCGGAGGCCTAGGGAAAGGAAGAAGATAAATGCGTGTCCGGCTACAGAGTCCGCACTCACAACACAGATGTCGAAGATATTGGCCGATGATATATTATTATGCGCGCGTCGCCCACCCCGTCGTTATACTCGTTTGTTTAAATATTCTGGACACACAGCCATCGTATGCGCGACGATACAGTATAATATAATATATTATATACTTGCAGCTTGTTCGGATGATTTGCTATGTTTTTAGGACAAAACTGTTATTAAAAAAAAAATATATATATATATATATATATATATAAAGTGTCCGAGGAGAGTGCCACTATAATTCCGGTGGCGGGTTAGTGGTGACGGAGGGGGAGAGGATTACGAGGGTGATCTCTTCTCGGACGTATAATAATATAATAACACTCTGAAATACAACCAGGAGACGGGATTTATACTCTGTATACAGCCTCACCATTACCGTGTGCATCGTCGAATCTCCACACCGTATACGGACTTTTTTTCATCAAAAATACATAATAATATATTGTTTTATATGATTCATAATATTATAAATCACATATTTTGAATTTTGACATTCGATAATATATAGGTAATATACGAAGACTACACCTAAACTCTATATTACAATATAGAGCGCAGTTATTTTGTTATACTCCAGGTTATACGACGTAGGATAATAAATTATAAAAATGTACCAATAGGTGTATTTATGTGATTTATTTGTTGAAACTTTCGACAGTTGTAATAGAATAGTGATACAGTGTATTGCACGTTCTTATTAAATGTTCTTTTGAAATGCACTAGCTTGTGATGTATATACTGTGCAACACTCAGCTCAATATTTCCGTTAATATTGACGTATTTATTTGTAGGGACATACTGTTTCCTTGCGTATTATTCACTTGGTGTAACCCTATAACCAGAGATGGTGAACTTTTGGCCAAATTTTAACGGCACTCGAAAACATTTTGTTTTCATCTTTCAATCTTGCCCTTGCTCAGTTGCATTTAAACAATTCTTTATAAACTCAATATTCGGGTCGACATACATATTAAATAGTTGTGATTGTTTATTTTCCAGGACCAATGAATCCGATAAAATCGAAGCAGGAAGTATGTGTTTTATAGCTATTTGTTATATTATACAAACGCATATGAGTTAAAAACGAACAACGTTAAAATGTTTCTCAAATGTATTCCAATCGGTTAAAACCCATTACGTTTCATATTATTATATATAAGATTATATTAATTATGTTCGGTAAATGACATAACATTATGCATACAAAATACATTTAACTAGTTACAACTTAAAGTTATAAATACGGGCAATCCACGAGTTTCCAAATATTTCCTGCTTTTAAGTTACGGATACACGCGGAGGGGGTAATATGTATTATAGGGTTACACGAGGGTATATTGAGGGAGCTAATGAAATCACACGATCGAGTGCGAAACGACACCCAAAATTTATGGGCCGCGTAATTTCCGTTATTTTATTGAACAGAAAACTGTGTATATGGCGTTTTTGGTTACCTTTATCGTGTTAGTGCGACGCCACGATCGAGACGGGACGAATTAGTATACATTATCGCGTTGTTATAATAGCTTATAATATGTGGTTGAAAGAAAAATAAATAGTATACATTTTATAAACGTCTACGCTTTCCATCAGATATATGTATATCATCATCTAACCTAAATAAAATTTAACAGCTAAAGTTTTGCGAATGGAATATGTTTTAAATGGATTTCGTGTGTGCGACTCTACCCATATAGAAGTTTGTCTTCTCGAAATGGTTTTCCAGTGTCTTTTGGCTTAGCGGAAGTATTGTATAGAAGAACACACACCCACACACATACTGTAAATGCACGCGTTGTAAAGGGATGGGAAATCGACTTCCGCTTTTGTGTGGTATTACCCCTTTTTTCTTGCCGCCCTTTCTACGTCGCAAATCTTTCTCCACGCGCGCACACACACGCACACCCACACACACACACACACACCACACACCCCAATCGCATTCCCTTGGCTGTTTTAAATAGTTTTTGCTGCCACCGACGACGATGACGACGACGACTGCAGCTCTCTCCGAAATTAACACACCAACCCCGTTTCTGTCTTTTTCTCTCCCCAGATGATGTTGGGGAGTGGTGGTGGCGGCGTTCTTTTATGTGCGTGTGTATATATCGTTCATTAAAGGCCAGACCGAAAATGAGAAAAAGCGTCGAAGTTAAACGATTTTGCATTCAAACAAAAGCGACCGGCCCCCCTCCTCTGCAATGCGAATCCCACTAATGGAAAATATTGTCTTTCTGGTTCGACTGAGAATTCTCCGAGATTCGGAACGTCGTGGTATATATATGCAAGGAAATAAATGTATTTCCGATTAAGAAAATTGACAATTGCCCCAATATAAAACCCATTCGACGAACGAATTTTGCATTACTTTTGCGCAATATAGTTTAATGACATCGATTTCATTAGACACGTCAAAATGATATTAAATAACTATATGATAAATTACTTAAATAAATGAATAAATATTAAATTGGATTTGTATCCATGTATTTTATTATACTACATAAACATTATTATTATTATTGTATTAAACCCGATCGTTGAAATGAATAAATCTATATTCAGACGCTGCTAAAAAGGGCATTGGTAATTTTTATGCCAACTGTCAAAATATAGTATACAAGCTTGTATTTTTAAATTATTTAAATCGTGTCCGTCATTAGCATCCGGACAATGTCTGTAAATAAAACGTAAAAACAAAAGGAGAAAAAAAGTGGAAGCTCTTCGATCTGGACCCTTCATTAATAATTCATTAATTGTGGTTATCGAGATCACGGAGGACGGTTGTATTTTTTTCGCCGATGATGATTTTGACACTGGCGGCGGGAGCGAGGAAAAAAAACTTAACAATTAAATGCACAAAAATCTGCTATCTAAACTGTTTTAATGTCGGTAATTGAACGGCCGTGCCCGGGTCATTGTTATTCACCGTAAAAATGCCCTTCCGACACGAAACGACCTGACAATTGCCGAGCCGAGGGGAGAAAAAGAAAAAAAAAATCGTTTGCGTAACATTAACTGTATAGCCACTGATTGAAAAAAACGCTTGTGCGTATACTCAAGTAGCGCGGTCAAAGATTTAGCGCCGCATTATTTTAGGTCGTTTATCTCAATAATTGAGTTGAAATAAAAACCAAACACGTAATAAAAATATAAGAAACGATACAACAAAATGACCGTTGTTACTGTCGTGTACGTACTAACACAACAAATTTCATACTAAAAATACCTCTAATAAGTGAGCTGGGTGGGCCACAGGATTTGTCATTATACTTTTATATTTTTAATTTGATATTACATTTGAAAGCATTACAGTAAAAATTGCTTTCAAAAAATGTTTGCAGAACAAAAAACCATAAAAATATAATATATACTTAGGTACCTACTTGTTTTACACGAAGACAATATTTAGACTAAAAATCATGTTCAGATGTGAAAACGTGTAATTATAATTATTATTATATATCTAATGAAATAAACATTGCGGTATACCTACATACTTTAGTTGGTCTGTTAGAAAATATGAATATTTAATTTTACTAATACAATTTATTTTATTTGTTATGACTTGGATATAAAAAAATAACCATACATATAGCATGATATGTGAAGTTTAATTAACATTTAAGTGATCAAATTACCAAATTATACATTTTAGAATCAACAGAATTATGAACAAAATTATTTACCATGTATAATGTATATGGGTTTATTTTAAGGAGAATTTTTACTATGTGACGTACGCTGGAATAGTACACGCAAAGGGTTACCTGTCTTATCATGAAAATTGTAACTAGAAATATTAGTTTGGTTAATAGATCTTGACAGTAAATAAAGCCATTCAATAATTTATTAAACTAATAAATTAAAGGTCGAAAAGATGAATAGCTTTATTTTGAATGTAAACATATGTCCACCGAAGAACAAAAGGGAAGAATCATGATAAATTCCTAAATCTTTGATGCGATTGACTATATTTAGTTCAATACCATTAAATAAATGTTTTTTTAAATAAAGAAGAACGTTTTTATGAGAAGGTAAGAAATATTTCATTTTGAAACGATCAAGTGGCTGCACTTATTTGTACCACACCAATTATTACTAATCCATTCAAGATCATACTAAAGCTGTACAGCAGTTCAGTATGTAAGCTATCAAACCTTTCTGTAGTAACCATAACACATGGACATGGGTACCTATTAACCTGTTTTATTACTTATATTATATTTCATTGAAATAAAGGAAAAACTGTAGTTTGCACGAAAATAATTACTAATATAATACGGCGATTGCGACTCGAGTTAAAGGGAATCGTTTGATTTTATCATACGACGACTCAGGTCCCGCAGACGAATTTATTATTATATACCAACGACGTTAATCGTTTCGAGAGTACTTTGAAATTGCGCCGTAGTGGCTTCAACCCCTTTTGTTAAGCATATATATTTATATATATATATATACATATTATAATATACCGTACTCGAGGCGTCTTTTTTTCGGAAACGAGGATGCTGCAGCGTT